AGGGGGCGGGGCGGGGCGCAGTCGGGCGATCAATCCGATCCCGACAACCCCGTTGATTATTTCCCTGCGCGACTCTGTCGCTCTGCCGACGAGCTCTGTTTGCAGCGGGAGCAGGGTAGTAATTTTCGTGGAAAGCCAATGAATGCGCCCCCACCCGCCGCGCGCTGCTGCACCAAACTCGAAAAAAAAACGTATTTTTACCGATTTTTACCCTTTTCAGAGAACTGTGTCGGGCGGCGAATGTGCGTAATTTCTCAGAGGAAAAGGGTGCGCCTCCGCCCACCCTATCGCCCCGCCTCGCCCCGCCTCGCCCCGCCCCGCCGCAACACCGACCACAGAGCAGGTCGTTAATCACCTCTGCACGATAGAGGGGGCGAGGAAAAAGTGTCGGAATGAGGAGTTACTCCGCGCTCCGCCTCCGCCCCGCCCCGCCCCGCCCCGGCCCTCCGTCGTCGGGTACTCAGCGTCAATGAGCGCGGCGGGCATGTGGTTCGAAAGGCGAAGTTAGTGCGGGGCAAAGAGCGATTAATCGGTTCATTTGCTTGCCTTACCAGCCCAGACGGCCGCGAGAGCCGAGCAGGCCAGGCAGGCGGTCGCCAGTCAGGCAAGAGGAGCATGGGATGGGATGCAGGAGAAGAATGAGGTTGAGGGCGGGGCTGGAAGGAACCTGATGAGGGACGGCCCCGTCGCGTCAGGGTGGAGAGAGAGAGAGAGAGAGTGTTCAGCGGGGCATGGCGGGCGGGCTGCGGCCGTGATAAGGATGAGAGCCGGGCTGAGCGGGCTGAGCAGGAGAGGTGTGTAAACCGGCCCGGCCCCGCGGTAAACCGGAACCTCCCCCGCAGGCTCACGGCAGGGTTGTACGTACTCCGGAGGGAATGGAGTGGAAATGAGAGCCAAGGCATCGCGGTCGTGCCTCCTCCCTCCTGAGGCGGGAAGTCCCAGCAGCTCGAGGCTCGTGGGGTGAACACGATAAGAGTGGCGCCGGAGCAGGCCAAGCAGAGCAGGCGGCAGGAGCGGCGGCGGTGGCGGCGGGCACCCGGCAGTCGCGGGAGAGGAGGAGGATAGGTGCGAACCGGAACTCCGACCGCCGGGGGGTCCCACGCGCAAAGGGGCCGGGGTGGAAATTAGAGGCTTGCGCGGTGGAAAAGGGTGTGGAAGGGGCGGGGAGGGAGGAAGGGGGTGGGATGAACAACAGTCGAGGACTGAAGACCAACGGCAAGGGGCGTAACTGTGTCTGCTGAGAGGCCACGGGGGCCGGCGGGGCAGGCGCCGCACGGGCCGCCAGGGCCGCACGCACCAGTCGTGTCGCATTCGGTTCCGTCTCATTTACATGCATGACGAGGAAATTGACGTTGAGCGAGGGGCGGCGCGCGCGGCGGGAGCCGAGGCCGAGCGGCACCCGGCGGGGGCCAGCCGGCTGGGATGGGCCGTAGCGTTGGCGCCCAAGGCGTTCGCTCGGGTGGGTACACCCGCCCCGCCAGGGCCGAAGAGGGGAGGAAAGGGGTGGAATTGAGCGGGAATTGAGGGGGCCTCAGAGAGAAATGGCAAGGGAGGGGAGGGGAGGGGGGAGATCCGAATTGCTCACGAGTGTCGCATATGAGCCGGCCCGGGCGGACAGCAGGCCTCTGTGCCCTGCCCCGCCCAGCACCATGCGTTGGCCGAGGCATGCATGTGCCGATCCAATACGCCAGAGGGGGGAAGTGCTGGGGGGGATGGGAGGATACTCGGAATACTGGACCCGCCGCTCGGTCATGGTGACATGGGGGGACGGGACGGGTGGGGCCACTTAGCGCGTGGGCAACATCGGAAAATAATTGAAAATCCTTTCCCCTCACAACCCCCTCCCCCTCCACCCCTTTTCCCCCTGCCGCGAGATTATGTCATTGTTTCCCCGGGCGCAGAGATGGGAGGTCGTGGATACCCTGGCTGGTGGACCGCCACCATGAGGCAGACGGAATAAACTGGAGATAATAAAATGGCAGTAAAGAGCCAAAGCCAGGGCCACGTGTGCGTATGTGTCCGATACAGAGGCACCCTGCCCCACCCCCCTTTGCTATGCGCATGACACGGAAAAGCTCTCAGTACGGACTATCGCACACGAATCCTGCCCTAGCCCATCCTATCCTATCCTATCCCCCCCCCCCCCCCCCCCCCGGCTGGGTTAACCCAACGCACGGCCGGGCAGAGGGGCTTCTTCGCTTTATCGGACCGCCCATCCCTGCCCTTGCCCTTGCTCTCGCCCTCGCCTCCCAATACCCCCTCGCGCCCATGCCACCCGGCGGGAGCGCTGCTCGGACTTACGAACTTACGACGATCGCACGCCATGTCACCTTCAACATCCAGCGCGTGACAGTCCGGCCTGCGACGCCAAGCCCCAAGCCC